CAGCTTTGGATTCAACCAAAGTCCTGGTGCTTTAATTTGAATTCAGTATTTCAAATTCACATAACTCCTTTCCTGTCCAAACCCAGGAAAATCAAAGGGATTTAGATTCAAGTTTCTAGATTAAATTTTACAGACACTTTATTGATCAGTGAAGATACCTTAACTGACAAGTCTGATTCCCTTTCATCTGCGTTCCCCTGGTAATTTGTCTGTGAAACATTGTGTCTTTCTCTTCCCTCCCCACGCCCCCATCCCTACTTTGCTTTCCTTTTCCTTAGGATATTTTACTTTAGGCCAGAAGAACCCAAAGTTTGCCAATCTGAGTATTGCAGTGGTTACCTACCAGGAGTCTGGGGGTGGATCCTAATTTGTATAACAGGGAGCAGGTTGCAGCTGGTCTCATAGTTAATAGGAAGTACAGCATGCAGAGACTTAACAGACTTACCTTGTTAGGCTCTGTGCTCCAGTGGGACCTTATGCTGCATTCTGAGTGATTTACAGCTTCCATTCACAGAAGCTATTGTGTTTTTTCACTTGATGCTGCTCTCACTAGCACATGATTATTTTTGAGGGAACAGGATTATTAGGAAACTTATATCTAAAAATGGAAATTCCAGAGGTTAGTCATCACTGTACAACGGGAATTATTTTTCAATTGAATGTTGATTCTTTTTGGTGCTGGAGCCTCCACAGGTGACCCTCCTCCCTCTGTCAGTACTGACAGAGTGCCTTAGCATGAAATTTGGGAGTCCTGGGTTTATGAATGTGCAGTCTGTTGCATGAGATGCACGACCAATTCTCTGACAACTTGTGGGGCATTAAATGGTCTCATAGCACCTTTTCCAATGCACACTGTGTCTTATCCATCCCCTGCACTATTGCAATGCATAGTAGTGTGGATTTCTGTCTCACAGTTAACAGCATTGACCTCACCCACTGTATTGTCTCATTTTCTGTGTGTAAAATTATAAGTAGAGCTGAGCGGAAGCTTAACTAAATAGTTTTTCATTGGAAAATGCTGTTTGGTAGAAATCAAATTTTTTCCCTGAATCATATAATTTTTCACTAAACTTTCTAAAGGCCAATATATGAGTAAGAGTGAGAGAAAGAGAGACAGACCCCCAGACCCAGCTTGGAATAGCCAATAGCCCAGTAAGTAGGGCATTTACTTGGGATGTCAGAGACACAGTTTTAAGTCACTGCTCTTCCCGATTCAAAGGAGGGACTTGACCCTTGTTCTAACAACTAGGGTACTGAGTATTCTAGGGTGGGATCTCTCTTTGTGGGTTTTTTCCCCCAAAACTGAAAGGTCCTGGTTTTGTGCTGCCTTGGGCTGGAAACAAATGTTCATTGTTGGAAATGGAATTCTTGTTTTCCTGACAGCCCTATACATAAGTGCTTGGCTCTTATGGGTAGATGATCCCGATCGTCTCTTCTGGCCTTAAAGTCTGAGTCTAAATATAATCTGGACCGTACAAATTATCCCTATAACATTTTATTCGTATGGAAAATATACTCCTAACACTTGTAAATAGAACGGTTGTGCCATTTCTAGGTACAGAAATGAAACATGCAATCGTTTATAAGCATGTACATTATTTGCTGGCTGTATCCAAAGCAGGAAAATTCAGACTTATTCCCCACCATTTAGCTCCAATTGTGACAGTAGAAGTGGTGACTGTATTTCAGAGATAACTTAAGCATTTTCATCACCCTCTTGCCTAAAACTACGCAGTGTCGAGTAATATGACACCATGATAAAGGGGTCTGAGTCTTGTCTAAATGATAACTTCCATAGGTGGAGCTGCGCTAGTGATTGAATTATGGGGTTTAATGTTTCCTAAATAAGTTCACTCACAGCAAGTGCAATTGGAGAGATGCTGGTGGGGCTGACGTTAGTTTGTAACCTACATAGGCAACCTTTAAGTCACCTAATATTTAGGAGTAGCTCCTGCCCAGGTGTTCCTTTAAGCATTCCCACACCACTGGCTGACAGTGGCCTAGGGCACTAAAGTGTCTAGTGCTGCCTGGTTCTGTTTGTATGCTGTGGCAAACGTTTTTTGTGTCAGACAATAGGGTGTGTTGCAAGCATTGCTGATGCTCTCAATGGTAGAATTCTATGCTATGGGGAATTCTCTCTCGTGTCCTAGTCAAATTCCAGTCCGGCTCATTACGTTCCAGTTACCTGAATTCCCCCTGGTTTCAGAGGGGTAGCCATGTTAGTTTGTATCAGCAAAAATAACGAGGAGTCCTTGTGGCACCTTAGACTAACAAATTTATCTGGGCATAAGCTTTCATGGGCTATAACCCACTTCATCAGGTGCATGGAGTGAAAAATACAGTAGGCAGCTATAAATATACAACACATGAAAAGATGGGAGTTGCCTTCCCAAGTGTGTGTGTGTGTGGAGGGGGGTCAGTGCTAACGAGACCAATTCAATCAGGGTGGATGTGGCCCATTCCCAACTATTGACAAGAAGGCGTGAGTATGAACAGAGGGAAAATTACTTTTTGTAGTGACCCAGCCACTCCCAGTCTTTATTCAGGCCTAATTTGATGGTATCAAGTTTGCAAATTAATTCCAGTTCTGCAGTTGCTCACTGAAGTCTGTTTTTGAAGTTTTTGTTGTTGAAGATTCTCCACTTTTATTGAGTGTCCAGGAAGATTGAAGTGTTCTCCTACTAGTTTTTGAATGTCACAGTTCTTGATATCTGATTTGTGTCCATTTATTCCTTTGTGTAGAGATTGTCTCGTTTGGTCAATGTACATGGCAGAGGGGCATTGCTGGCACATGATGGCATATATCACATTGGTAGATGTGCAGGTGAACGAGCCCTTGATGGTGTGGCTGATGTGGTTAGGTCCTATGGTGGTGTCCCTTAAATGGATATGCAGACAGAGTTGGCAACAGGGTTTGTTGCAGGGATTGGTTCCTGTGTTAGTGCTTCTGTTGTGTGGTGTGTAGTTACTGGTGAGTATTTGGTAAGGCAACTCCCATCTTTTCATGTGCTGTATATTTATACCTACCTACTGTATTTTTCACTCTATGCACCTGATGAAGTGGGTTATAGCCCATGAAAGCTTATGCCCAGATAAATTTGTTTGTCTCTAAGGTGCCACAAGGACTCTTTGTTGTTTTTGCTGAATTCCTCCTGTATCTTCAATTAGATACAGCATCTAAAACGATCGTGTAGTGTTGCTTAGCACTGTTAAACATTTACCACGCTTTTGCTCTAGCAGTGGCTGCTTTCCCCTGGTGGGTGAAGTGATTCCTTATATATATGTAATGTTTATAAAATAGTTTTGGATCAGACTGACTGAAAATCACAACAGCTGTGACAGTCCCATCATGTCTGTATCAAACTCTATAACAAATAATGGGTCTTATATAACCAAGGAGAGGGAAAATGGCAAAAGCAAGGCACATGAAATCATAGCTTTTTACAAGTAATTGACAAAGACAAGTTTTGAAAAAAGAGGCTCTTTGACACAGCATTTTAAAGATTTATTAAATGGGAAGTCCTCCCTCCTCCTCATGTTACAGTCTCGCGGCAGGCACACTAGTTTACCGTTCTGAGCCTTTGCTGGAAGGCTGCTATGGTAGTATGCAGAACTGCTGCAATCCATGATCGCTTCACTCCTTATTATCCTTTTAACAACACAATAACAGCAGAGACTGTGGGTCCTGGTTAATACCCAAGGTCACGGTGCTCCCTGCCTCTCAAAGAGAGGTAGGCGAGTGTGAGGGAGAGAGATGGGGTTTGGTGGGTTGATAGATACTCTGTGAGACCCTGCACATCCTAAACGCGCGGCCAGAGCTCTGCTCTTGCTCCAGCTGTCTGATTCCGCACTGGGAAGGGCTCCAGAGTTGCATGGGTGCTGAACGGCGGCAGCACGAGGTGCTGAAGCCTGGCACTGAGCTGGGATTGTCTCTCCCCAACATGCAGCCGTTTGGCAGCAGACGCCAACAGCTCTCTTTAAAAGGCAGCTTCCAGCCTTAAAGGGCAGGGCTGACTCGCGCTGTGACAATTACAATGAGGGAGATTTAAAAAAAAATTAAGCGAGAGTGTGATTTTTTTTTTTGGCCCATGCCTCTTGCATCCCAGGAGGGGCGTGCTGGGGGGAATAATACTTTCGCCCTTCCCGGGGCCGGGGGGCTGCAGCCAGGGAAGTGGCGGAGGGGAGAAGGCAGCCAGCCAGCAGAGCAGCACCTGCGAACGTGGCTGGTGGTGACTCTGCCGCACTTTGGAGCTCGTTCTCCGCTGCCTTGGGCTTATCACCCTCCGCTCCGCCCCTGCCTCTCACAGCGTCCCTCCTGCGCCCGGAGAGCCCCCCCAGGGCGGGTGGAGGGGAGCAGCTCGGGCTGCGGCTGGATCGGCTCCTTCCCCAAGTCTTCTTGCCAAGTGCCGCCTGCGTTGTCAGCCCCTTGCTTGTGTGTGTGTGTGTGGGGGGGGTTGTTAACATGAACAAATCCATCTCGCGGCGCGGCGCCCGTGGCTGCTGCAGGAGGGTTTCATTCACAGAAGGCGAGCCCGTGTAGCGGGGGGCGGGGAGAAGGACTCCAGAGACGGGGGAGCGAGGGGGCAGGCGGGAGACAGAAGCGGGAGAGACGGGAAAGCGGGAGGGAAGGGGCGAGCGAGCGCCCCACTGACAACCCAGCCCCGGAACGGGTTAAGCACATGCCCGCTGGGCCAGTTGACATGTAAATACAGAGCAGCTGCTCTTCTCCGGCTCCGGCTCTTCCCAGCTTCTGATTGGCTGCCAATGACATCACCCCCTGCCCCCCTGTGTTATACCACAACGGACTCAAAGCTACGTCGGATAAACTATCCCCCAGCGGCTGGGAGCCCAGCCCCCGGCTCCTCCCACTCCCCTATCTCCAGCCATTGGCCCCCCGGCGCTCGGAGCCCGCCCGCTTGCAGGGGAGAGCCCCCATTGGGCGTGGGCGCCGTCCGTCCCCGCCCGCTCCGCCCCTTTCGAACCTTACATTTACAGTGTAGCAAAAGAGAAAGTAACTCTGTTGCAGCGGGAGATCAATGAAGCCCAGTGAATGGGGGTTTAACGTGTAACTCCGTAGCCGCAGACGAGCGCCGGATGCTGAAGGGATCTACTTATTTATGAAGTAAGTGGAAGGCTCTGATCATAATGTTAGGGGAGGGCAGCGTTTATATAGTTACACAGAGGTACAGCACCTAAAACATACATAGTATGAGAGAAGGGCATAGTTTCATCTGTATGCAATGCTACTTTTGGAGGGGTGGTGTAGAAAGCTCGGCCAACAGTGTTGGGCTTGTACTGCCTCTGATTACTGACCTCTGCTCTTTCTAGTGAGTGTTGGTGGGATGGGAGAAGCGGCTTTTCTTGTTTGGGATTGCTGCAGTGTGGTTGGTGGGTGGGTGAGAGACGAGAGTGCTCGCAGGGCTCTCCTTGCATCTTCTCCCTTGGCTTTATCTTCCCCACCCCAGACGCACACAAGAGAGGGTGGTGGTTCGTGGTGCTAAATAGGGCTGCGTTAGCTCGGTTCCCTGACTTCGTGGTTTTGCTGTAAATATACGACCCTCTGCTGCAGAGATGCAGCTCTTCCAAAACTGCATATATATCCTTGGGAAAACAACCCTCTGTACCTGGGATCAAATCCTGTGAAGTGTTTTTGTAATCTTACTGATTTTTATGTATACTTTGAAATAAAATAAGTTGCAATTTATTTTTAATTGTGCTGCTGTTTTTTTCCTATTTACTAGCTGGAGGAGATTGCTTTTTAGTTTTCCCTTATGTTTGACTGTCAGGCTCTTTTTTTTTTTTTTTTTTAAAGAGGAAAGGAGGAGGGATAGGCTAGACAATCTACTGGGGTCGTTTTGTAAAGGTTGATGATTGGTCTCTACCCTGAGATTTCATTTTCTGTCATGTTAGAGCTGACGTTCATCTGTAAATGATAAATATTTTCCCCATTGTAAAAATGTTTTCAAATTCATCTCGCAAAGAGATTTTTAGAGAAAAGAAGGAAGTGGAGGGACTTGTTATCCCAAGGCAGGCCAGAGAATACAACTCATTGATATAAAAAGGGGATGTTATAAGTATTGGAGACATGGACAGTATAATGTTGGAAGCGTGAGGGGAAATTGATATTAGAAGTGCTCAGTCACTTTATTTTGTTAGATTTATTTAATTTGTTAGCTGGTTGATGGAATGAATGTATTTCGAGGAGGGGAGTACCAGATGCTCTGAAAGTTGGTGGATATCTTTTGGGGGTGTTTGTGTGTGTGTGTGTAAATAACTTTCTGGTGTCTCTTAGTAGATGAGACAATAAAGCTCCTAAAAATCATGACCTAGGGGCTGCAGAGGGACCCTTATTCCTGGAGTCTCTAAAACTGTTCTGTGGGGTGAGGGTGCTTCTGCCTCTAGGATTGCTCGAGGTGCTAGACTTTCCAGGCTGATACATTTTTATTAGAATTGTACTCGGATCTAAAAAGGGGAGATGGAATGCAGGCTTGTCCCTTTCAATTACATAATAATCTCTGGCATCTTCTTGTTATGCCTTTGTTTCTGTATGGGTTCAAGCTTTCAAATGGCTTTCTCAAGAGTTTATTCCAAAGCTAGTTTTATTCAAGCTTGCTAGAAAAGTTGCACATCTGCCTCTGATGTATTTAGCTGCTGTGCACTCCAGTGAGTTGTCGAGCCATGCCAGTAGTTCTGTCCCTTGCTGTGAGCAGAGGAAATGAGAGAACATGCCTTTTTATTATCTTTCTCAGTTGCATGCTTTGCAGCCTTAAGGCTTCAGGGTAGCTCAGCATCTGCATGTAAATGAATGTCGACTAGTTGCATGGTAGGCCAATTGCACGTTCTGCATTCTCTTTGGGTAAAGAGTTGAAGTTTTTGCTGCAGGAGTGGGAGAGGTTCCTTCATTAACTGCGCTGAGCTGATCACTCTTAGTCAGCGCTGAGTATCAGAAACCGCTTTTAGAAATCTCTGACCCTGTATGTTTCATGTGATCCTTTTTCTTTTTCCCTTTGCAGACAGATCTTGAGTTCTTCTTGACTTGCCAATTCTCAGCCTCCTCATGCCTCCATCTCCTTTAGACGACAGGGTAGTAGTGGCACTTTCAAGGCCAGTAAGACCTCAGGATCTCAACCTTTGTTTAGACTCTAGCTACCTTGAATCTGCTTCTTCTGCCAGTGAGAGTCACACAAGTCTCCTTGGCACAGCTGTTGTGTCCCTAAAGGCTGCTAATCTCACGTATATGCCCTCATCCAACAGCTCGGCACGCTCTCTGAGTTGTGGATGCAGCAGCGCCAGTTGCTGCACTGTGGCAACTTACGACAAGGACAATCAGGCCCAAACTCAAGCAAGCACCAGCAGCACTACCAACGTAGGAACCTCTACCACCTGCCCTGCTAACCAAATGGTCAACAACAATGAGAACACGGGCGCATTGAGTCCATCGGGTGGAGTGGGGAGCCCGGCCTCAGGCACAACCAAGCAACTAGCTAGCATAAAAGTAATCTACCCTAATGACCTGGCTAAAAAGATGACCAAATGCAACAAGAGCCACCAACAGAACCAAGGGCCTGTCATCATTGACTGCAGGCCATTCATGGAGTACAATAAGAGTCACATTCAAGGGGCTGTTCACATTAACTGTTCTGACAAGATCAGCAGGAGAAGGCTCCAGCAGGGCAAGATCACGGTCTTGGACTTGATCTCCTGCCGGGAAGGCAAGGACTCCTTCAAGAGGATCTTTTCCAAAGAAATTATAGTTTATGATGAGAATACCAATGAGCCAAGCCGAGTAATGCCTTCCCAGCCACTCCACATAGTGCTGGAGTCACTCAAGCGAGAAGGCAAGGAACCTCTAGTTCTGAAAGGTACTTCTACCCACTACCCCCAAAATAATCTGCTGGTTTCTTGTGTCTTTTCTCCATAAATATCCAGGTTTTTTTGCTTGGTTGAAAGATGTACACTTAAAATCTATTTGGGAATCCTATATGTATAGAGTCATCAATAGCAAAAGGAACAGTCAGTGACATTACTATAACCAGGGTGCACAGCTGTTGAAGGACCATCTTCAGAGTAGTTCTCAATGGTTTGCTATCAAACTTGGTGGGGGAGGGAGGGATGTAGCTGGTGGGATCCCACAGGGGTTGTCCTGGGTCTGGTACTAGTCCAATGTTTTCATTAATGACTTGGATAATGGATCTGGAGAGCGTTCTTATAAAATTTACAGATGACACCAAGTTGGGAAGGGTTGCAAGCAGTATGGAGAACAGGATTAGAATTAAAATCAACCTTGAAAAATTGGAAAACTTGTCTGAAATCAACATTATGAAATTCAATAAAGACAAGTGCAAAGTACTACACTTAAGAAAGAAAAATTAAATGCACAGTTGCAAAAAGTGGGGAATAAGTGGCTAGGCAGTAATACTGGTGAAAAGTACCTGGAGGGTACAGTGGATCAGAAACCAAATGAGGTAACAACATGATGCAGCTGCTAAAAAGGCTAATATCGTTCTGGGTTTTTTTTAACAGGAGTATCGTATGTAAGACATGGGAGGTAATTGTCCTGCTCTACTTGGCACTGATGAGGCCTCAGCTGGAGTGCTGTCTCTAGTGTTGGACGCCACTCTTCAGAAAGATGTAGACAAACTGGAGAGAATCCAGAGGAGAGCAACAGAAATGATAAAAGGATTAGACAACCTGACCTATGAGGAAAGGCTTTAAAAAAAACTAAACAAACCTGGGCATGTTTAGGCTTGAGAGAAGAGGACTCAGGGAACCTGAACACATTTGAAGACTGTTAGGTGCTCTTATTGAAAGGATGGTGATCAATTGTTTTCCATGTCCACTGAAGGTAGGGCAAGAAGTCATGGGCTCAATCTGCAGCAAGGGAGATTTAGGTTAGATATTTAGAAAATATTTCTACCTATAAGGGTAGTTAAGCTCTGGAATAGGCTTCTAAAGAAGGTTGTGGAATCCCCATAAATGGAGGTTTTTAAAAACAGGTTGTTAGACAGAACACCTGTCAGGGATGGTCTAGGTATACTTAGCCCCATAGGGGGCTGTAGGAGATGACCTCTGAAAGTCCCTCCAGCTCTCCATTTATTATGAGTCTATGATTAAGAGAGGGGAGGAAGATCTTAGCATGTGTCTTATATATAAAGCATGGAGCTGATAGACCTTGGTGTTTAGGTTTTTTGTTTTTTGTTTGTTTGTTTTTAAAATGAATATTGCTGTCTGAGGGTGAAGATAGGTGGGAAGAGAGGGAGGAAACAGACTTCCTAGATTCCTAATGTCTGTGCAGAATTTTAATTTTTCCTAACTATAAGCATTTGGACTAGAAATACTTATAGTAAAGGGCAAAGACCCAAGAAGATGCAATACTCTACCCAAATATTTTAGATCAAATTGATTTTTGGGGACCTTGTATTTCTAGTAGTCTTGCTGTCTGTTATTTTAGTCTTCATAAAACTTAGCTCATAGAAGTTGGAGATGGGCAATAGGCGTTGGGTAAAAGAAGAGGAAGAGGTATTAACCTAACTAGTCTGAGAACTCAGATTAGTCTGTGGACTACCATGGTATACCACCTGTTCTGGTGGCTGATCATTTAGATCTCAATATATTTTACACTGTCCAGGGCTGGAATGTTGAGAGGGCCCAGAAAACAATTTCTCTGCTCTTAGGTTGTCTGCAGGAAAACACTTTTTTGAAGAACTACTATTTTAATGCTTTGTCCAGTCTAATTTTCAGTGTTTCAAGTGATGTCGTCCACCACTTTGAAAAGCTTTCCACAGTCTAATACTGTCTGAAGATATTTACCTTTTTCTTCATTTCATTCTGGTACTTCTGTTGCCATCCAAATTGTCTTCCCTTTCCTTGTTATTTAGACCCTTCAAATACTTGGTTGACAGTTTGACCCTTCCCTCTCCCTTTAGCCATGGTTTACCCAAACTGTACATATTGAACTCCCTTAATCTTCCTCAGAGGTAATTTCTTGTAGCCTTGCAATCATATCCCAAAGAATATGGCAGTTAAACTTGCTGTTCTGAGAGTTGCTAGAAGACTCTGTGGAAGTAGATGGGTCAAAGAATGGAGCTGAGTTAAAGGTTTTGTGGCAGGCTTCACAATTTTGTTTAAACCTTAAAATCATGTTTTGGCTTTCTTGTGCATTAACTGCAACTCACAGTGACACTGATTTGATTTTGATAGTTGCAACTGATTCCCAATAGACTTTCACTGAAATCATTAGGCCATCATGATTCTTATGCATGCAAAAGGAACAGAGAGACACATTGTGCAGTGAAGCTTCCTTTTAAATTCAATGCTACTATTGACCATAATTCTGTCTTAACAAAGCTTTCCTTCCCCCCTCCCTGTCTTGACGTTCATACCTTTTTCAGCAAAGAAAATGTTTATAGAAAAAGATCTTTTTCTGTATTTCTTTGTAAGAAAGATATGGATAAATGACATCGCATCATGACAATTCCAGGATCTTGATATACTGTGTAGTAGCTATGGTTTATCTGCATAGATATTTGGTATCAGTGAGATGTTCAGCAATTATAACAGTAGCGAGCAAGTCCACCTAGGTGTCATGCTTGAAACATGGCTTTTATACCCTCCTTTACTGATGCTAACTGCTGGGTGCTCTGCTGAGATTTCGTAAAATGCTTGCAAAATCACCCAGTACACACTACTTTGGTCCTGCTCTGAAGCAGACCATTTTAAAATTGGTGAGAAGTATTTAGTGGTTGGCTCAGAAGATTCTCTTAATAGAGTTTGGATCTCTTTCTCCCCCTCCCTCTCCACTCCCCTCGGCAATCAGATGTTCCCTCTGAACTATTTTTGCCAAGGTGTGTGTGGGAGGGGGGAGGATGAAACAGGTAAAGGACAAGGGAAGAAAAACCTCTGTTAACTGTGGTTTAAAGGGAATGGAACTAGCTTGGGAAAGCGCATCAAGCAGAGGAGGGCCAAGAGCTCTCCCATTTTAAACCGGTTATCTTGCATTTTTAAACCCTCTTCTTCCCCCCTACCCCCCCCGAATTTGAAATGGGGTCTGAGTAGGGGCCTCTTGGAGTTGGGATTATTATAGAGTAACTAATAAGGCTCTGCTTAGGCTTCCATGCCTGGAAAGTAGCAGTAGAAGTGCTTGTTATTTAGTTCCAGTTGTCAGATAGGATTTTTCCATCATGCTTCAACAGCGTGTGTGTGTGTGTTCAGGAATTGAACTAAAATTGAAGAGAGGATATAAAGCCTCGTTGCTTTTTATTTTAGAAGATTTCTCTTGCTCACCGCAATCCAGTCATAATTTATTGCTGGCCCATCTGATCCTCTGTTTTATGTTTGTAAACATTGGTTGCTAACCTTGCCGTCCAAATTTATGTCCCCCTGATCTGGTGCCATGTTCTCCATGTATGGTGCTGCCTGTCAACCAAGCAGCCTTGTTGCCGTTTTAGTGTTGCAGTGTCACATTGAGGAGAAATTGATCAGAGAACCTCCGGGCCCTTGGCCTTGGGGATTAAATTACTGCTTTAATTTACAATTCTTCTGGTTGGTGACTTCAGTCCAAGATGTATCTTGTTCTAGATGTCTGAATCTTTATTTAATTATTTTTTAAAGCAGCGAGGGATGTATTGTGTGCTTTCCTAAAACCAGACTGATCTATTGGTTAAAATACACTTTAAATTTCTCCATTGGCATGAACACTTAAGCAATAACATTAAAAATAAGTTATTAATTTCAACAGGACCACATGTTGTTGTACTGGGGCTGCGACAAGAAGACACATCTGGGCAGTGTTGAATGTGATTGGGCTTGCCTTTGTTTTATGGAGGGATTTTTAATCTCTCTAATGTTCCTCCCCCTCCCACCTGCCTTGTCTGCACTATTTCTTTGCCACTTCCTCTACTTATGGGGTACACTTTTTTTCTTTAAAAATTAAGGTAAGATTTGCATTTGATTTAATCACTTCAAAAGCCAAGTTTGAAATGCTGCTATGCCTTTTGAATAACAAATACAAGAACTTCTATATCTACAGAAGTATATATCAGATTATATTTTTAGCATTATTGTCAAATTGTGTAAAAACTTAAACTGCTTTTTATTTTATCCTGACGAAATCCAAAGCTTTGGTTTGGTTGCATACAGTATGTCAAGTAGCTTTCTCCCCCCACTCCCTCCTCCCAACTTCCCCTTTTTTCTTCCCTTTAACAGTAGATGCTAGTGTCGAGTAGTTATCAGAAACTAAAGGCACTTTCTTTAGTGGCTGGATTTCTTTGCATATCATCATCTCTTTCTCTTAGTGTACCACATACGGAACTGATCGCAGTGGTGTCTTTCACCAGTTCTGCTAAATGGCAGAGGCACTTACACAATTTGCTTTGCCTTTCATTGTTCTTGGGGGGGGGGGAGTCAATTTTCCCCCAAAGTCAGTGGGTGGGTAAAGTCAGTGATGTGGGCCTACTTCTGCTCTCCTGGAAGCTGATGGAAAAATAGTCACTGCATTCAGTGGAAGTAGACTTGGGAGCCCTGATGACTTGGTCCTTAGCCTCATTGACCCATGGAACAGGGTGAGAGGGAGAGACCTGGGGTGAAATCCTGGCCCCATTAAAGTTAATAGCAACACTTCCAGGACTTCACCCATGGTGTGGAGGGGCCTCAGTGCCTTATAGGGGGGAATTCTTCTCCTATTAGTGACTAATCCACAGGTGAAGCAATATTGCCAACCCTTGCAGTTTTATCACAAGTCTTGTGGTACTTGGTGTTTGCTTTTTATGTTTTTGTTTTTCCTCTTAAATCCCCAGCTCTTGGAGTCAGGTAATTACATAAATATCTCTGTTTTAATTATAAATGAAGTGGTGTTGGTTTTGTT